TCATCAGCGCTAACGCTCCCTCTGCTGAACGGCTACAGACTCAGACACGAGAGGACGCGAGAGGAGGGCGTAGCGGGCCAATAGCGCGCCAATATGGCCGCGAGGAATACCATGCTAGATCGCCGAGGCATATCCTTCTATGCGAATTGCGTGTCGTTCTATCCCCTTAGGAGTTCGCCTGTCCCTTCACTAGGTGAGTTCCCCTTCTTCGTCCTTATCGTGGAACCCGCCACGGGTCGGGAATAGGCGCCAAGAAGCAGTCCCTCTCAGAATAAGTCCCTAACTCAGGAGGCGTTACATTGTCGCGACTCAAAAGCGCGAGACAACGGTGTTGACTCGTTTGCTACCGTACTGCCACCTCTATCAATGGCGGCATACGTGGCGTGACGCCCTCTCGCGAACGACATACTCTCCCACATTTTCCCAATCGCAGCGCTTCGTCTCTCCATCATACCATATTCACAGGGTAAATTGCAAAATTTTCTATGCGCTTTTTGCTTTTTTTCCCACCCACGTTCTTCATCGCACTTCTTGTCAAATTTTTGATCAAGAAAAGATCGAGTAGCCTTTCAACCTCATTCTGATTTTGAAATATAGTTATTTTAGAGTTACCGTGACCCACATCTAGACTCCTCCGGGACCGCAAGTTTGTTGGAACAAAGATGTATGTAATAAATTGAATGAATACAGTGTTTGAAATAACTGATGTCGTCCCTAGACCTCATTTATGAGAACACTCAAACAGACCTGAAAACATCTCCCTGCAGCGTGTCGCTGACTAGTTGTAAGAGCCATACGCATTGCCAATTGAGTCCACACTACTGGTAACAGTGGAATGGAGGGCAGCACAAGTTCGGCCAAATGGCGAACCTAAATGGTAAAAATGGTCAAAAGTGCGACATACTCTGACCCAGAGAATTTCAGTCGCCTTACTAAGCAGGTGAGTTGAGCAGCACTAGGCACTTTCCAACAGCGCGGCGTCGCATCTTCGTTAGCCCACAGAGGGCAATCCATGCTAAACGAAAAAAAAATTAGAAATTGAAATAAAAAGAAGCATTTTAAACCGTCATCGAAACCATATCAGGGGGGGGGGCGTGAAACATGTACCTTAACTGAAACATGTGCTTACCTGTACCTACCAAAACTTTACTAAAGAACGATCTGACGGTACAGCTCATACGCAAGCATCACTTTATACACGCAGGTTGGCAATAACTAATCAAACTTCGGGCTGCGAAGGAAGATCGTAGGCTTGGGTATCACGAATGATTTATTAGTACCGGATATCTTAATGTTCGTTTTTTCACCAAGAGTTTTGGACCAGCAATATTTCAGTTCAAAACCCGGGGAGCGAATTAGTTTAATCATAAAATGACTTACTAGGATCCCCTCATCTAACAGTTTGAGTGGAAACCTTGCACGATCCAAGCTCGGAATTTTTTGAGTTAAAAAGGAGAGGCAGGTCGGTTTTGACATCCTCTGATAAATCATCCCTCTTTACTTGCTAAAAAGTAAGGCCTGGACAAAGTAAGTATACAGCTGGTTAGCGTAGGGTCTGCATTGCACGACAGAAAATTAGAACTTATCAGCCCAAGTGGGCAGTTTTACGGAGACTTTTTTGCAACATAGGGTCAAAAACGCACCCTTTTTGAGCGCGCGTGAGAGGCAGGTGAGCACATTTATCAGAATATCTTGCGGAATCAAATTCATAGGAATGTTTGCGCATCATCAATCCATCACAGTGAAAGTATCCTACCATTTCAGCACAAGTCTGGTGCAGCCCCTTCTCAGCTGGCTTAACTAGGGCCATCTTTTTGAAGACGATTGCAGGCATCCTTTCAAAAACTTCACTGTCTTTTAAGAAAACTGAGGAGAACCGGTGAGCATTCCAAACGGTAGTATTCCCTCTAACAAAAGCAATGTTAGTTTGGTTGGCGGATCTGTAGCTCCCAGCCCGACTTTGGCATTGGTACACACATACGAATTTGCGCAATGAACCCAGGAATTTTCAGAAAAAGGTATAAAAATTGGGGGAGAGGTAAATTGTAAAGTAACAATAGGGACTAATAAGCAACATATTACGTAGTATTAATAAGCAAAAAGAACGTTCTGAGAAATTGATTTTCCATGGTAATCGGCCCCGAAACTTCCTGAACTCAGAAAAACGACATTAAGATATCCGGTACCTAATAGAAATGAAAAATGTACCTGGCGCCTCTAGCTCTTGCACTACCTTCTTGAAGACAACCAATCACGCTCTTTGGCTACAAAATGTAGCAGTAGCATGTGATAATTCTCTTGAATATCATTCATCATAATGCTGGCTCTGAGTAAGTAAGGTGTTTTCAGGGCTTCATCCCAACCGAGGTCCACAACATGAATCCATTACTGACTTCTAGTCCGCGTGGATGATAGCGAAAGCTCCTCCAATCTCATAATATCTAGGTAGTGTCACGGGTAACGAGCTGATAGATCCCAATTTTGAGGCAGAGGGTTATTTTCCCACCCATATGAGTTTTGAAATTTTCATCTCTAAAGGCATTATTATCCCCTCATGCAATGAATAAGAGACTAATTCGTATAATCAAACTTACTTTTCACTGAGACAGAAAACGAGAGCCATTATCAGATCACTCTGAGAAGAGAACAAAGTATTGCTGTTGAGAAGCATGCTTCCGGTACTCCTCAGCAGCCACTTTCGCAAACGTAGGTGAGGCACCTCTCGCAGCAACTACATCGCAGAATGACACTGCAGACGTTTTGACACCATAGTCATCAGTAGTTGAGCGACCCATTTGGTGCTTCAATAACATCCCCGAAACATGCGCTAAGGTAGTCTGGTCTGCATGCAGAAGAGAGATATTGATGATAGTCTGAAAAGCCGTTCATAGGAAGCACAGAAAGCTAGAGACGCCTGACACCTACCTGTCTAGCATGTCGACAGAGGGCTGGACGAAGTGAATCAAGGGAGAGCACGGCCGCATGGAGCAATCGTGGGAGAGCTCGGTCCAGTCCACATCATGATGACCGTATTATGTCCCAATATCAAACACGTGACACTCCTACTCCTGTAATGCAGTTCAGGATCAGTCATTCAGCAGAACAAAACTGATTCAAAATTTCGTAAAACCCAAATTACATAAATATGCCACCTTTGAATAACTTACCAGGCTGGTTGTCGTGGAAGATATGTGCCATCAGCTTGAATAATATCCCTTTTCTCGTTATAGCAGCACGGAAGGAGACGAACGCCCTCTTTGCTCGCATCTTCGGAAGCAGCAGCAAAGCGATCACCCATGGGAGAATCTCGCATCGGTGAAACAACTTCCACAACAGAATCCTATAATGGGACATCAGCAGATAATTTTGGGAAAAATGGAAAGTGAAATTCCTCAATCCAACCTTTTTTGTTTCAGCGTCATCCTTCCACCGATAATATGGAGGTATGTCAGATCTTTCAAGAGTATGACGAGCGTTGTCCCACAGAAGAGGACAACTGCTCCAGTAACAAAGCAGCAATACGATTTCCCACCACACCAGCTAATATGACGCTTACTCGTTTCGCCTACGATTGTAAGGATTTGAAAACAGCAATTGGAACGTAACTTGAAAAAAAAACGAAAAATCATGACTAACAACAGTATTACTTACATAAGGTAAAAGTGCCTCATGTGACAGACCGTCACTACGTAGAGATAGTTGAGAATCACTGGCAAATTTGCAGGATACGATAGAGCAAGTGCTCGCCAAAGGTCAGCCAATTCGTGCTCATGGTCGGGAGCCAAACATATCGTCAGGTACATGAGATTGTTCAGAAGCAATTGGGTAGCTTCCTCAGATCCCCATCCACGAGGGCCTGAATCATTCGTCACTTCATAGTGCATGTAATTGTGAAATTTGTCACCTGTTACCTTGAATGTCAGCCCTGCCTTGAAGACTTACACACGTTGAATTTCACCTCACATCGTCTTCGCCACCTCGAATCCACGACTCCGCCTGTTTTCCCACCCAACAGCATGCATAGGATATTAAATAGTTCTATTCTGACTTCTGTGCGCCTTCTAGACAAAATCGAACTTCTGAAAAAGAAACCCACAATTAAAAACCGCGCCCATATGAAACTGGCGGGTGACAAAATAACGCATTCAAAACTCCTAAATATACATAACACTGACACGTCGACGTTCCATTCCCTTGTTTAATACGCGGTTGATCTCTTATCCTCACTTTACGAACGTATCTCATTGAGTTCCTCAGTTGTTCCGACACGAGGCTTGGCAACGACGATTAAAAACTGCCATTAGCGCATGCGCCAACACGGTGCCAAACGGAGATACTGAGGAGATACGTGAGCTAGGGGAGCGAGGGCAGTTCAAACGAAGGAGGAAAGTGCGAGAGTGTGACAGTAAAAGTTTGAACGTGCGAGGTCACTATAGTGGTAAACCACCATTTAGGCGAAAGGGCGCGGGCGAGAGCAGCACACTGACTGATCCAAAGGACCGAGTTGAAGTAGTCCGCAGATGATTAAAGGCCGTATCTACTCAAGGGCTTTGAGCGGGTTAGGAGTAATATGTTTAAGAGTTGCACATGATATAAGCTTACCGCTGAATATAGTGATGGTAAGGTGTGGATAAGAGTTTGCGAGATTCCGGCACACTGCTTGCTGATCCATCGGCAAACAGTGAGTATGAGTGTCGGGAACAACTGTAGGTCTTAGTTGAACGTTTGGTGTGACGTTATTAGAAGCCGGTACTAATTGCGGCGATACCACCATGCTGCTGAAAACAAAAGTTTATGGAGTCGGAGAAGGAACGTTCCGAGAAAATCGTCTTACTTGTCGAGGAATTGCCTCTTGAGGATTTCGATCATGTGCACAGCAGCATCTGTTACAGCCGGATCACCAAGCATTGCTTGACAAAGGACGAAAAGAGAAATGAATTCACACGGGAAATCACGCTTCGAGAAAACACGGACAAGAGCTCGAAAGCATCTTGCCGCCACAACACTCGGTTGTGAATAGCACTGCGACATCAGCCAGTCCAACAAATGACTGGATTCATTTAACTCCAACATCCAAGCTAGCATTTCTTCAACCTCTCCTTGCATCTGAAGTGAAAAACAGACTTGATTGTCGAGAATATAAATGGAGGGACTTCGAATGACATTCGCTGCAAGAGGGCAAAAAAGCGAGTGATCTCACCGTTGCGTTGGCACTTGAGACAAGCTTTTCCAGCCAACCATAAAGGTAACCATCTTCACCAATGGATTTCTGTGTTTCGAATATTCGCCCACAACTCAGCAAACGAGTCATCGCCAAAGCTGCTTTTTGTTCCACATATGACCCAACCTAAACGATAAAGTTTCATAAGGCAACAATGGAGTTCTCAATGTGATGCCTAATTAGAGGAGAAGATATTACAGATCTTTCTTTCCTATCTGTGCGCAACATTCGCACAAAGTACATTTTGTTCAAATTCATC